AGACACTAGTATAGTTTCCTCCAAAAAATAGTGTTTCATGTCTTTATAACCCATTTTTTTTAGATATTTACAGTAGAAAAATATTTCTGATAATTTATGTTCTTTCAGAATTTATTTAATCAGAAAAAAGTGCTAATTTCACCTTAAAACTAAATTTACTTTTCATGGGTACATATTTCTTGCTTGAATGTTGTTTCTTCTTTTATCTTTTAAACAAGCTAAGAATTAACTCTGCTATCATGGTCTTTAATGAACTGATCAACAGTACTGAATATTTCTTATACCTGGCGAAATGTTTCTCAAATAATGCTTCCTCAGTGTTCATTCGTTGGTTTTGATAATTTAATTACATCTGCGAGTCTTTCTGAGTTAGTTTTACTTATGTTTGTTGATGAATATGTATGTGGTTTTATTTCAAATATTATATTATGCCAATTAATTAAGCTCCACAGATCAGCCTTGTCCTTTTATGCCTCTTGTAGTGCCTTTTCTTCACTCCCTTATCAGTTTCTCAGGCAGGATGAGTCCTCCTGCTCTATTTTCACCCTTTCCTCTTCCTAACTAAGCCCATTGTTCGGCATTTGCAGTGGATACTTTATTTTAGGTTTTACATATTTTTTTACTCTTTATAATGTTTCTATATAATACAATCAATCTCTATTGGCATTTTGAATTAGATGAGATATAGCTCTTATATTTTCTTCAGTATTACTTTTTTCTTTTAGTCTTTTTATATGTTTTACATCTCTTATTAAAGTTGAAGTCTTCACCTAGTAAATCAACTTATGGAAATTATCAACACATTTTTTTATTGATTACTTTCACCTTATGTGTTAACAATACATTGCTGTTTCTTGTACTGACTTTAGTTTGTGTTGAAAACTAGGCATTTTAAACATGATGCTGGCCTTTGGCAACGTCAACTCTTCCCATAATCCAGGATATGTGCCTTATTTGTATAATCAACATTCTAAAATAATTCTCAAAACACTATATTTTCCAATGTGTCTATCCATGTGATTGTTTAATTAAACACCAGAAAATACCTGACAGATATAAAAGCCAAAACAAAAAACAAAAACAAAAACAAAAAAAACAGAAAAATCCTTTACAAACATTAAGTATTCTCATCTTCACAAGTGACTGTGTGTGCTTGTTGACAGATTCATTCAACATTTATCTAAGCAATTGCCTTTGTTTTTCTTTTATGCAGAGCCTTGAGGCCACTCACAGGTGAAAGAAATCATTCTTGGGTCTTAATGGAGCAAGTCTAAATCCTTGGCAAGTGCACAATCCTCCTCTTCAGCAAGCTGTTCTAGTTCGATAACTTTTCTTGAATGGCTAGTTTAGTATTAATTCCAAATTTTACCTACAAATAAGGAGGTATTTGTCTTTCAAACACATGCTGGTCTACATAGAAATATTAGACTAGGAGAGTTCAAAGTCATATCAAATTAAGATCATGGTATTTGACAGTCTTCTAGGAACTTAGCAGACATAAAACAATGCCAGTTCTTTACAATTGGGATTATCAACAATTCCTTTCCTCTCCTAGTGTCCTTTTCATGTGCCTTCTCAACACGGTACTTCTCACTGTGCTGGCTGAATTATTGTTTTTCAGAGATTTTTTTTTTTTGGAGATTGACAGGTGGAAAGAACACAGGACACAACTTTTCCAACAAAATTGAGGGTAGTTTTGTTTTGTTTTCTTGAATAAATGATCTCCAGGTTACTATCAGACTTTGGTCATTTCTAGACTTTAAAATCATAGATTCTGACTATCTTTTTCATTACCTCTATGAGTTTCATAGAGGAGAAAATTTATTAGAGACCCATATTCTATGACTTTTTGTTGACATATTCCAATGACATTTCTCACACAGTATGATGCTGCTTAAATAATTATAAATTCCACAACCTATTTAGATTATGTTAAAAACTTGTACATTTCCCCCTATAGACATTTAAATTTTAAACATTTTAAAAAATGAGAGTAATTCCAATTCCTGTCATCTCATATATGGATGGCTCTTAACAAAACTGAAAATCAAGGTTCCACACATATTCTTCCACTTGTAAAGCAAAAATAATCACTAATTTTCTTCAAATTATCTTTAGTGTACAGGTCTTTAGTATGCAGATTATTTGTACCAAAGAAAATATGATGCATAAAAACTTATAATCATCCTGAAAAAGAATGAATGTTGTTTTAAAATCTGTAAAGAAACCTAGTGTTATCCCAATAATTGTAATTAGAAGAACAAGTACCATGACATTTTGGGAATGTTGGAAAGAGCTTGGCCTGTATACAGAGACCTTTGTTTGTCTATAAAGAAATGGTACAAGAAATTAAGCAGTGCCTCCCAAAGTTTCCAAATGCCCCACACCCAAATTTTCCCAGTCACATACACACACTCATTCATACGTATACTTTCTCATCTATAAGTACCGCACATGAACCGATTATGCCGCTGGAGCCTCTGCAGATAGACACTTTCAACATTCTGCTTTAATAAATTCTCAATTGAAAAGGTGTTAAAGGGCCAACTGAATTCAAAGAGAATATTTGCTGAGGGCTGTAAAATTTTAATTATAAGCTGCATTTCCATCATATTTTCAGAAAGGATATCTGATACAACTCATTAAATACAACATTTTTGGAGTGTATAAATTTTCAAAGTCCAACACACACAAACACCCATGCAATGACTTATATTTCACACAGTATGATACTGCTTACATAATTATAATTCCACAGCTATTTAGATTAGACTTGTATATTTCTTCTTATAGACATTTAAATTTTAAACACTCCTTTAAAAAAACTAATAATGCCACTTCCTCTCATCTTGTGTATGAATATAATAACAGTTGTAAGCCTTTACAAGAGCAAAAGGAACAAAATAGAATGTAAGAAGGTTAAAATGACACAATAGTTTCCATTATATTGATAGTCATTTTACCAGTCTCACACACTTTTTTTTTTTTTTTTTTGCTTTAGATTTTAACATCTAGACACTATTACTTTTTACATTGTATCAATGATTGCAACTATAACTTGAAGTACCAAAATAATTTGAGGTTGCTGAACTGTCTAAAAGCAAAACGATATAAGGATTATTAGCCCACAATTAGGAATTTTAACGATGAATATGGCCTGTTTAACAGGCTTAAAAGTAACTTTCTTAGAATAGGACTGACTTGGTCTGTTTTTCTATTGCTGTGATAAACGCCATACCCTAAAGCAACATGGGAAGGAGAAAGTTTATTTCGCTAACTTCTTCTGAGCAGTCTTTGAAGAAAGTCAGGGCAGAAACTCAAGAAGGTTCTTTTTTGGTTTTGCTTTTATTTTTATTTTTTTATATTAATTACTTTATTTACTTTGTATCCCAGCTGTAGCCCCCTCCCTCATTCCCTCCCAATCCCACCCTCCCTCATCTCCTCCCTGCCCCTCTCTAAGTCCACTGATAGGGGAGGTCCTCCTTCCTTTCTATCTGACCTTAACTTATCAGGTTTCATCAGGACTGGCTGCTCTTCCCTCCAGGGTGGGGAGGTCAAAGAGCCATCCACTGAGTTCATGTCAGAGACAAATCCCTGTTTCCTTTACTAGGACACCCACTTGGATGCTGGGCTGCCATGGGCGCCATCCAAGCAGGGGTTCTAGGCTATATCCATGCGTGGTCCTTGGATGGAGAATCAGTCTCAAAAATATCTGTGCCCAGATATATTTGGTCCTTGTGGAGCTACTGTCCTCTCTATATCTTACTAACTTCCCCTTCTTTCATAAGATTCCCTGTACTCTCCCCAACGTTTGGTTATGTGTCTCAGCATCTGCTTTGATACACGGCTAGGTAGAGTCTTTCAAAGGCCCTCTGCAGTAGGCTCTTGTCCTGTTTCTTATTCTCTCCTCCTTCCAATGTCATCCCATTTGTCTTTCTAAGTGAGGATTAATAATCTTACACCGGGTCCTCCTTCTTGTTTAGCTTCTTTAGGTGTACAGATTTTAGTATGTTTATCCTATCCACTTATAAGTGGTCTAGTATCCACTTATAAGTGAGTATATACCATGTGTGTCTTTCAGCTTCTGGGTTACCTCACTCAAGAAGGTCTTTTCTAGTTCCCACCATTTGCCTGCAAATTTCATGATTTCCTTGTTTTTAATAGCTGAGTAGTATTCCATTGTGTAATGTACAACAATTTCTCTATCCATTCTTCCATTGAAGGACCTCTAGGTTGTTTCCAGATTCTGGCTATTACAAATAAAGCTGCTACAAATATGGTTGAGCAAATGTCCTTGTTGTGTAGTTGAGCATGTTTTGGATATATGCCTGCTTTTTAAAAATTTACAAAAGTGTTGCTATTTTTAACATAATATATCTTATATATATAATAAATGTATATATATAATCTTATAATGACATCTAATTTTCATCTTAAAGAGTTTACTATAATGTTGCAATAAAATAATTTAATAAAATATTAATCCTAAAATATTTTAGCAAGATATTCTTTTCTGAAAACATTTCAGTGAAGAAAAAATAAATCAAAATTTGGCATGAAACCTCTGAATGATGATAGAACTGAGGACCTGACCTGTTGTTAGCTTGAATAGACTGTAACTGAATTTCTCGTCATGGTTTCAATTGTTTCAAAAATGAAATAAAAGATGATTTGATCTCTACATACGTTAACAATGCATACAGATAATATATTTCCTAAGTAACTTAACTATGCTAGTGGCAAAGCACTGAATTTCTTAGGTGCTGAAGGAAAATATTATTTTATGGAGAAAGGCTGAGAGGAAAGCTATGTGTTTGATATTTAGACACTGAAAACCTTTGCCTATTGGTTACTTTTCTGTAGTAACCAACTGGATAGAATACCTCACCCTCCTTCTTAACAAATATGTCCAATTAAATGTCAATCAAATATGACTACTTTTGGAACATAAGGGCTATGTTCTTAGGTTATGTTTTATAGAAATTTTCATAAGAACTTACCCCATTTTTTGGAAAAGCAATCCATCCAAGGTCCCCCATGACAGTGCGTGAATCCAATAAATTCACTAAAAAAGAAAAAACAAAACAAAACACCAAACTGAGTATATCCCTGTTTTACCTCTGTTAAGTCACATACTGCTTATATTACCAAGATTAGATTATGTTTTCATTATGAGGAATACAGGAGTTACAAGTATTATTATGATGAAAGGAAACAGCTGGTTTGTAATAAATGAATGGAAAATTGTAGCAAAAACATTTAAAGTATGTATAACCCTAAATGCTATTGTTACCAAATAAAAGAACTAGTTCAAATAAGATTCAAAACATAAGTCTTTAATACAAACAACAAAAACAACCCACTCAGAGTTAGCATTCATTGGCAGGCTTAAAAATTGCAGTTAAGCATGTTATGAATTTGCAAAAAAAATTACATTAAATAACAATAAACAGTTCGTAAGAATATTTAACATTTTATGACAATAACCAAATTTTTCAGTACAAGTGGAAATTTTAATTATGAAAAAAATCTGTGTAGTTTTACTCATGATGAAGATGCTGGCAATTCACAAACTTGTTGCTATAGTTTAGTGTAGCCTCAAATGTCCTCTACTTAGATATAACCAAGGCGAATTTTTAGAAATTCATGTCTTGCATTCCTAAGATTTCAAGAAATCTAAGACTTTTAGAAATTGCAGTATTGATATAAATACCAGCATTATAAAGGAACCAGTAGAGAAGGGCACATACTCATCCTCAGTATGCTACATGCTGTCCTTGTAAAATCAAACTAATTAAAAGGGTACACTTTAGTTAAATGCTTTCGGAACAGATCAAAGAAAATTATTGTTCTGCCTTTTTACATCTGTTTATATCCTGAATTCTTCTAGCTCATGATGTCACTGACTGACTTTGATCAAGATTGGTTTATGAAACAGAAGAGGGGCCACATGGATTATTTCCTGATGCTATCTTTAACACGCTCAAAAGCCAATATCTTAGAAGCCCAGCAAATTTAAGGTTATTATTCTGCAACCTTAAACCTGAAGTGTATAATGTTCAAGAGTTGATAGGCAAGGAAACAGGTTATCATACTATACTAAGGAAGTATGAAAAAATCACTATGAGACAGAATCACAGATGAAGTTGCTATTTTCTAAAACTAATGCTCATCTGGCATATAAATTTATTTCACATTAGTAAAACCCAATGAGAAAATACATACCCTAAAAATCAATTTAAAATATATAAGTATTTTTTAATTATACTTATAGGTATTTAAAATATGTAAGTATTCTGGAGTTTAATTGTTTTTTGTTTTCATAATTTTATAGATATGAGGTGCCAGTCATCTTTAACTCACTTTAATCATACTGGTTTCATGTTGTTTGTAGAACTGTTAGTTCCTTCAATTAATGATTTCTTTAGTGAAAAAAAAAATCACTAATTAAAGGAGAAAAACAATAGTTAAAACACAATTGTCCTGTTACCCGGATCATCGAAGTCCTGCCAGACATGACACTACACCTAGCTCCTTAGTAAGAGCCATGCTCTTCATTTTACTGTATTGTTGGCTTTTCTGCTCTCCATGTGAATAAGGTTACATTAAACATGAATGTCCTTGTCCTCCTTTTAGTGTATCTAGGACACTAGGGCACTGTCTAGACATGACTAAATACCAGGGGAGTGAACACTTAAATTGTTATGTTTATTCATTTTAATGACTCCTTTGGCTTATCTTCGATATTGAGCAGCAGCATGCCTGTGTAGTTGAGATAAAGGTCCTCATATCATCAAACTGAAGGTGTTACTGTGACACAGTTGGCGGAGTTTCCACCTGTCATCCAAACTGATGTGCTTAGGTACTCTAGGAATCCACTACAGCCTGCTAGCTAAGAAGCAGCATTCCTTGCTGGTCTCTTCCTGACTTGCAGCTATTATTAACTAGATTAACTACTGAACTCCAATGTCTTCAAACTTTGGTTACTGGCACTTAAATTAACTTTAGTCTACACTGATCTATATTGCTGTTTGGGGGCTCAAATATATGTAGACGAGAATTAATGCCCTCAGAACCCGAGCTTAGCTCTTTTTAATGTATTTATTTATTATTTATTACAACTTATACACTTTTTATTCCAGCTATAGGTCCCTCGCTCATCTCCTCCCAGTCCTATCCACCCTCGCTCTTCTCCACCTATGCCTCACCCATAGTCCACTAATAGGGGAGAAACTCCTCCCCTTTTATCTGACCCTATCAGGTCTCATCACGGTTAGCTGCATCATGTTCCTCTATGGCCTGGCAAGACTGCATCCCCCAGGAGGAGGTGATCAAAGAGCTGGCCACTAGGTTCATGTCAGAGACAGCCCCTGATCCCCTTATTAGGGAACCAGTTTGGAAACTGAACAGCCTATGGGCTTCATCTGAGCAGGTCTAGGCCTTCTCCATTCATGGTCCTTGGTTGATCTCTACATGATACCCTGGGACCAGATTTTTTTTTTTTTTTTTGGCTCTGTAGCTCTTAATTCAATTTTGGAAGGGTAACCCTTGGAACAATGCAGAAATATAAGACAGTAAGTACAATAGAAATCTGTAATTTATCATCTATAATTGTATAAAAATTCTGTCATTAGATAAACAGATTATGAAATTGATGGGAAATATAGACACCTCACTTTCCACAACCATATAAAATTCAGTATCTTCAGAAAACAAATGATTCTGTAAACTTCACCATATAAATAAGATATTTACATCTGCAATTAGAAAATTTGAAATTGAAAAAAGTTTATAAAATTATATGCTGTTTGTGTTTATCAAACAGAATAAATTCTTGAGACCTTGCTCAGCAGGTTCTTCAGATGCCTAAGAGAAAACAGTTACAATTGATATGTAAAGTAACAAATACAAAAATGCAAGCAGGGGAGAGCAAGCCAGGAGGCATGCATCCTCCATGGCTTCACTCTCAGTTCCTGCCTCCAGGTCCCTGCCTTGATTCCTTCAGTGACAGACTGTGTACTGTAAGTGTAAAAAATTACTGCCACCAAATATGCATAATATATTTTTCTCTTCAATCATTAAGTGGGCTCTTTTGGTTATATCAAATAACTATCCCTTTTCTGAGAATTACTAATTCTTCATATTTATTTGACCTATTATGAAGTACTGTCATTCATCACTGATCATAAATCTGAGTGCAGTGCTATTACTCAGTGTCTGCTATCACCCGGTTCTCCTCACTATAGCATACTGACTTGTTTTACCCCCTTAAAAGAATACCTGGGGCTGGAGAGGTAGCCTAGTAATTAAGATTTTGTACTATTCTTGCAGTATACATGAATTCTGTTTCCATCACCAATCTCAGGTAGATCATACAGTTCTATACTCCAGCTCAGATGATCACACCTTCTTCTAGCCTTTGCAGAGATTTGAAATCGAATGTACATAGTTTCATGTGCATGCCCTTGCATGCGTGCGCACGCACACACACACACCAATAAATTAAACCTTGGGAAAAAAAAACCCACCATGACCAACACAAGCCTACACACCTGGCTAAGGTCAAATAGTCAATAGCTGTATGGTTTATGAGTAAAACCTCTTGTCATTGAAATGATCCAGAAGAAGTATCTGAAGCAGCATTCAAAAGTAGTTCTTATCTACTGCCTCTGATGGTGCATAGAGGTGTGTTGTATTTTCATTTTCTGTTTTGCTTTTGCTGTTTTGAGTTGGGAAAAGCCAAGCATATGGCTAAGCATTCCTGTATGCACAACAAAGATCCCCATGGGATAATTAGCGCATAAAAGTTTCACTATTTCCAAGGTTGAGATGCTCTGACATTTATCTACAGGTACTAACAAATTTTACCTACTTTACATTTGTTTTTTATAATGTGTTACTGGTAGCGTATCTCATCACAGAAGATGCCATATTTGAAAGCATTTTCCTTATAAAACAAAATAAGCCCTTAAGTAAGAATATAAGGTAATAAGACAATAGGAGCCTAGTTTAGAAAAATTAAGTAAGACAATCTACTCATTTAATTCCCCTATATTATTATTTGACAAAAGCAGTGTAACTTTGATCAGCATTTTATTCTTCGTTTTAATAGTTTCTCAATATTTAAGATAGAATGTACAAAACTTTCTTACTGATATCACTAATGCTTCAACTTCCATACATATGTATATACTACACAAAAATGTTTTAAAAAACAGTATTAAAAAAAACTGAGATGTAGACAGAGTGCATAAAAATGTAAATTTTCAGAAGTTAATTTCCCAACGACTTTAACGAATTTATTAAAGAGTGGATTGGCAGTAATAGAGTGCAATTTCTAAGTGTCTTCTTTGCTACAATTACAGTAATTAAATTGTTCTGAACAGCATATATGCGTGTTGTAAATTACAATGCATACACAATGAGTATTGATCTTCATTGCACAACTTAATTAAAACTTGTCCGAGAGAAGCCACTAATGAATATAATTAGAGGAAATGTTTGATACCACAGTTACTCTGGAAAGCATTAATTAGATATCAGATATTTTGTGGAAAATGTTTTATTTCGTTATTTATATTTTAAAAATGAACTTACACGATGAAACTGAAAAGAGCTTTTAAGGTCATTTTCTCACTCAACTCTTAATCATATAATTATCAGGAAGATGGGTTGATTGGTTAACAAATCAGCAATAAGAACATAATTTCTTCAGAAGAAATAAACCCAGAGGGATCAAGGAGTACATAATCAATGCCAAATTCTTATTCAATGCACAAAAGGGAGAACACCTAACTAATATAGGAATTTTTAAAGTGCTTTTTAAAAAAGACATTTTGTTTCAATTCTTGTGCATGTACATGTATGTGATCGTATGTATGCATTGTTTCTGTGTCTGTGTGCATGCGACACATGAATGTCAGTACAGTGCCAATGGAGGCCAAAATGGAATATCAGAAGCTGGTGACATATGTCACTGTGTGTTTGATATATGTGTAGAGAACTGAACCTGGGTTCTTTGCAAAACTAGTATGTGCTCATACCTGCTGAGCCATCTATCCCTCC